TTCCAACCTTGTGATTCTGTGATTCTGTGACCTTATCAATGTCTTATCAATATCAGAAGGGTGGCTGTCAGGAGGATGGAGCCAGTCTCTTTTCAGCAGTGCCCAGTGGTAGGACGAGGGGCAATGGGCACAAACTGCAGCACCAGAAGTTCCACCTCAACGTGAGGAAAAATTTCTTTGCCGTGAGGGTGACGGAGCACCGGAACAGGCTGCTCAGAGAGGCTGTGGAGTCTCCTTCTCCGGAGACCTTCCAAACCCGACTGGATGCGTTCCTGTGCAACCTGCCCTGGTTGACCCTGCCTTGGCAGGGGGGGTGGACCAGATGATCTTCAGAGGTCCCTTCCAACCCCTATCTTTCTGTGATTCTTTGTATCTGCATAAGCAAACTGGTTACTATTCCCTACCAAGCCTAGAAAATGCTTTGGATGCACAACCTGAGATTTACACGTGCCAGTTCTCTCCTTAGCACATACAAGTGATAGTCATGTTGTCTAACTAGAGATTATCAGGAAAAAGATATTAAAATGCATACAGCTATATTACCACCTGAACTTTTTTCTCTATAGCCCAAACTGACCACGTATGTGAGCATTACATTTTAAGGGGGAATATTACGTAGAAGCTTGTTTTCTTACAGTTGTACCTTGAAGAATCAACAAAAATGATCTGTGAACTTCCTTTAGGAAGATGAGCAAAGTTTCTAGACTAGTTATTCCCTGAAGCAAAGCTCACCCCATGTATTTTTTTATACCATACACTTAAAGCTCATATTGACGCAAGAAGACAGAATAAAAATGAAAAAAAGAAGGCAGCATAATGTGCAGAATTAAATTTTTATCAAATCGTAAAAGGAGGACCTCCTTCCTTTAGCTAGAGTTTGTGAGAGACCTCAACAATTTTCACTATTAATGCTTTCATTTTGCAGTGGATGAGGGCTGGTGTACCCATTCAGCCCCAGAAATCTCAACAGGCTATGTGCTATATTTTAAGAATGCCACCTGAAGTTCAATCTGATGGTACACGTCGGATAAAGATCCTGGGAACAAAGGTTTCTATTTTCTGATGCTTTCTCCAGTCTAGTGTATGCCACCCACAGCGAGGTCACACAGATTCTCCCACAGTCCTACAGGAGAATGTCAAAAGCAATAGCATGTTGTTTTTTCCTTTCAAGTTAACAGTAAAATTCCCATTGACTTCAGTAGGAGTACAGTTCACTTTAAACACTTCAAATGGAAACTGAAACACGCAAAATACTGACATAACAACGTTTTTGAGACTTTTTTTTCAATTTAGCTTTTAGCTAGTTCAGTCACCTACAGCTTTGTGGATACAGGTTCCTGTGGTTTTTCAACTTCTGGGGCTTTTTTCAAGGTTATATAGCAAGATAAAAAAATCAGGAAACATTTTAAGCTTTTCCTGTTAAACTCTTATCTATGCTGTGAAAAGCAAGCTGCTGCTTTTTGTTTTGCTTCTTCAGTGAGTTCAGGAGTTAGAGCATCTACATATGGCTAAGGAATCATTTTTCAGATGTTTTGTACTTACCTCATTCGATAATGGAGCCGGTGTGATGTTTTTTCATCTATCTTAAAGACCTTATTTGGTGCATACCAGAGTCTTTTGTTTTCATCATACAGCGCAAAGAGATTATGGCACAGAGGAGATATAGCTGTTAGAGAAAAGTAAACAAAGGTATGAATCACAAGGCTACAATACATACGCACACCTCAAAAATACAAATACATAAACAAATATCTGATCTTGCAAAACAGACCGTAAAAAGAAACTGATACTAGGATTAGTTTAAAATGAATGTTCAGAAAGTTACGGGTAAAGCAGAACTGTGAACTGTGCATTGGTTCACTTCACTGGTTTTATTGCATATTTAACAGCGTATCACTGCAGCTACTTCTAACATTAAACTTATTCTGAAATCCTGATTTTGCCAAAGGTCTGAACTTAAAAGGAAACCACTCGAAAATCTTCACTTTTTTCCAGATCACAGAAATAAGTTTTTTAACAAAACCACTCAGCAATACCACAACTTTGTTCTCAGTTTTATTTTATTAATAAATTTTACTCCCATAATTGAAAGAGTAGGTTTTAGCAGAGCAATGAAAATCCCCTTCTCATTAGCAAACAGCAGAAAGCGTAATGTGTCATTTTTCCATTCTTTCCTAACTCAACAGAGGGTTTTCCAACAAAGAACAGACTTTGACTTTTATGTCTAGGCTGACCCGCTTTAACCTTTGCAATTACATCATCCCAAGAGAAAAAACAGGCTATGGTATGTTTACAGGTCTACCCTTGTTTGAATTCCTTGCTTCGGTTTCCTGCTCAACAGAAGGCAGTACCTTTTTACAAAAGCCCCGGTCAGGCAAGCAGCTCTGTTGCAGAGAGCCCCGTAGCACACGCTTAAATGTCTTTCTGAAACTGGGCCAACTGCAGAGCACTTCACTGAGGTCCTGCAGAAATCAGTGAAACTATTTCTACTGTGACGTGGGGAGAGAGCGAGCAGAAGGGAAAAGGGAAGCCAAGGAAATAAAGACTGAACAGCCTAATTGCAAAGTTCACAGAAGGTGGGGTTGGGCAGCCACTGCCTTCTGCAGGTCAACAAGCAGCAGGCAGATGCCACCAACGGTTTAACTACTCAAGCTGCGATTTACGGCAGAGACCAGCATCACAGGCTTGCTGAAATCTGTAAGGCTTTTGTACTTTGCTACCATGTGCTGTGGACTTAGCAAAAAGCAAGAGGAGGCAGAAAGAAGTTTCCTTAAGGAAAGCTCACTAAGTAATTTCTTCAAAAGTTTTAAACTTCCAACAGAAATTACTGGGAGCAGTTGCACAGTATGTGAGTTCACACCCGTACAAACAGCAGCAGTTCACAGCTCTTACATGCTGACACAAACAGGTGGGTTTTAAGTACTCTGCTTTTTCATTAAAACTATTCAAAAACAACATGAGTACCCATTTGATGAGGTTTGTCTTTCATATTCTCATCATTCGTGCCCTTCCAATGGAAAAGAAGCAATCAGGCAAATGAACTGAAGGGTAGCCAATGTTACAAGAACCAAGATGACATGGGAAAAGAAAACATTATTTAAAGCTGCAGGAAAATTTATGCCCCGTTTGCCTGTTCATGCAGACAGATTCACCAGTCCCATATCAGCTGTATAATACTTAGTGTTCCATGGAGCTTGGGGAACACAAAATTGGGATCAGAAAAGAACTTGAGGATTGTAAACATAAAAGTACGCTGGTTCACAAGGCTCAAACATAGATTAAATCCACTAATTCCAGGAGAATCCATAGATGTTCAAATATTTTTCTGAGTCAAGGACCACAGTGAAAAAGCAAGAAATCATCATTATACATTTATATATTACCACAGTTGTGCACGGTTCAGGTTAACTGGTGATTTATTAGTACTACAGACATCATAATTTTCTGCAAATAAGTGTCAAGTAACAGAAAACTGAAACCAGAAAAGTAGCAAGTAGGTTTTGTTTGTGGGTTTGTTTTTTTTTCATTAGCCCTCTCCAAAATGTTTTATAACACAGGACAGATCCTGACAGGCTTACCAACTAGCATATGAAAAAGCCATCTTTGTGTTAGCTTATTTGTATATGGTGTCTCCTCTCCTCTTAAAAGAAACCTAATTATCCCACCCAAATTAAAACATCAGTACCTGCATCTGCCAGAAACCAGGGTTGGAGATCATCACTTTGTATGAATCTCAAGACAATCTCTCCCACCATTTCTCCCACTTCAAGCAATTTAAGAACTGTCCAAACCAGGCCCTTGGCAAAAGTTTCCGTCCTAGACTCCATAACATGCCTATTTCTTCTACACGCATTGACGTACCAAGTAACCAACAATAGGACGAGAGGAAATGTCCTCAAGTTGTGCCAGAGGAGGTTTAGATTGGACGTTAGGAAAAACTTCTTTACTGAGAGAGTGGTCAAGCATTGGAACAGGCTGCCCAGGGAGGTGGTGGAGTCACCATCTCTGGAGGCGCTCAAAAAATGTGTAGACGTGGCACTTCAGGACATGGTTTAGGGGGCATGGTGGTGTTGGGTTGATGGGTCGACCTGATGATCTTAAAGGTCTTTTCCAACCTTAATGATTCAATGACTTACATGCAGAGAAGGACGTATCACTTTTGATACTGACAGGCCTCGACACTGAGAACTTATATAAAATCCATATACTCACAACACCTCTGGGCAGCTTCAATGCACAGCTCCTCCGAGGTAAACTCGCCACTGGTGTAATAAATGGGTTTTTTATCTTGCAGGTAGAAAAGTATTTCTAAACCCTGATGCTGAGCTTCCAGGTTTACTTCACTCTTCTTTGTGCTCCTCATTTTTGCACAGAAAGCCATGGCTTTGCAATCTTCTTTTACGTTTAGATACTGAAAGTGGAGGAAAAATAGTTAAGGAAAAAGTGAAGAAGAGTTTGAGTGTTTGTCAGAACACAAACCCATTGCTTAATGAGACTACTGCACACTGTGATGGGTTAGGTACAGCATTTCTCAAAATCTTCACATTGGGAACCTGATTATTCAAAATCAGTACTTCTCAAAAATGAGGGGAAAACTGAAAAAATAAATAACAATGATTATTCTGTTTCTGGTAACTCTGTTCCAAATAATTCTCCACTGTTCTGGTGGTTCCACTACTATTCTAGAAGATTTATCTTCTTACTGTAAAAAAGTAACTTTCAAATCCTTAAGCAGGTAACTGTCTGAAAAACAATACTTGAGGCTGAGTAATATAAACAGCACAATTTATATTTCCTTTAAAGAAAAACAAAAGGTAGCTTCTATTTTTACAATCTCCTTAGCAGCTAAATATTTCTGATAAGTTTTCTCCCCTCTCACCCTTTGTTTTTTAAACTCCTGATACTTAATATGTGATGGTGAAATGAGCTTTATTGGAGAGATATCTCTTATTCTTACTTCTCTGTCTCTCCAGAAGGAAAGTGTGGCACCAAATAGGTTTAATGCACTATTTTTAAACTGCCAGGGATGCATACAAGACAGCTCTGTCTCGAAAGAAAATGCATGTTGCATTTTATACCTAGTGCTTAAGTAGAAAGAGTGGAAAGGAATTAAAAGAACACACGCTCCAGGTATTATGGGGTCTGCGTTCCATGTTTTACTAAGCTTTAGCTCAATTAATAACAAAAGTCCAAGCCACCAATTCTATATATTAATCCTCCCACCAAAACCCAACCAAAACCAAACCTGAGAAGCCAACACACCTGCATTTATGTGACTGTGTGATCCTCTACGCAACTGAAACGGATTATCTTCACGCTTTCCAAGAGCAACTTGACTCTGGCTGAGAAAAAAAAAATAATTAAAATTGTCAGGAATGGCTTTGTACAGTTTAAGGCACAAAATATATCGTCAGGCTGATAAAATGCCACTTGCAATCAAGGGAATCTTTCCATTAATGTAACTGACATCTGGATCTAGTCCCAACCAAAGACAGTCATAGCAAGCATCTAGGAGTCTATGTAAGTCTACTGATTTCTTTTGACAATTTGGGTACACTGGCTGAGATGCAAACAAAAAACAGGGGGAAAGCCTTGGTTATTCATGTGGGGTGTTTTTTTTTTCATATTTTCAGAGCATCAACCATCAGTTTGGTGTCCTACTTGTTGCAACCCTGAGCTGTAACACCAAAAGAGCATTCTTCTCTTTTGTTTACCTCCCTTCATGGCTTTTGAAGTCACTTAATTCTTCACATTTTTAACTACATATTGCCAATGCAAATTCTTCCCTAGTCTCTACTGTTTCTTCCCCTTCCAGATTATTAGGGTTTTTCTTTGTTTTATTCTCCTTTGCTCTGTGAAAGTTGCAGAGCCTTGAGTGGGCAGCAGAGAATAAGGAAGCTACTCAAGGGAGTATCATTGCAAGGGTCTTATTTCTCTCAGAGGCTCACAAGGAGCGCAGCCCATGACTTCAGTGCCTTCAGGCAGCAGGGGCACCTTCCAAGAGCCTACTTTTTTTTTTTTTTTAAGCCTTATCTAACACCACAAACCACCTCAGTATTCTGGGCCTGGTTTGCAAAATTACTCCCACCCAAAGTTACAGCTTATCCTTATCACCTGAAGCAAACTGGCAAAGTATCAGTACTCTCTTTTTTTAATGGTAGGCTTGACAGTGCCTCTATTTAAGTATTATCTGATACCAGGGCTGTGAAATCAAAAGATGCTCTAGAAATAGTTGAGAAGGCGGGGAAAGAGCGGACACTGGTAAGATGTCTCCCTAGTCCTAGTCCTGATGGTAGAGCGTGGAGCACCAGTGAAAGAGCCAGCATGCTTGAAAGGCATGCCTGTCCCCTTCCAAAAGGCTGCTTCCTCTCCCACTGGCATGGGAATAGGCCAGATGAGGAAGGAGTCTGCACTTCTTGAAGAGAAGAAGGATGTGGGACTCTGTTCTGCATCTCCAGAGAGACTCCCATGCTCCAATACTGGTCCTGCGTCACTGTCCACCAGACACAGATCCATGCTCTCAAGGGGAAACCATCCCACTTGCTTCTCCTGGGGTAGTCACTCATTAAGTGCGACAGTAAACTGAATGTGACAAAATATGTCTAAACCAAACATGACAGTACTGCTGGTTTGGTAAATGTCGCCCATCACTCATCTGAGGCTGAAAGACTCCTCCATTTGTACTCTCCATCCCTCCTTTTCCTCTTCTTCCCCATCTCTGCCAAAACATACTTGAACTAAATGCGTTTTTAATTGTTTTTGCTGCAACAGCATTAGGCATTAATCTGATATAGCAGACTTTAATGAATATTGCTTTTATAAGCCTTGGGCTTAGTCTAGAGAAAGTCTGGCACTGCTGCACAAGCTTCCCTTCCCCAGTGCCCTGCAAACACGATACTATCATAGAAAAAAAAAAACCACAAAAATCCAAACAAAACATTTAACAGCACAGCACACATTTACAATTAAACCGCATGTTCTTTCCATCCCTGCCACTTTAATGTTAAATCTGAGTTTGCAGACACATTCCCTCGGCGATAATATGGGCAAGAAGTAATTGAGAGCATGATTACTGGAACATGCAGACAAGCCAGTAATTATTTCTGCACAGCACCAGAAAATTTAAATGCAAAAGGTTAAAGATATTAGCTTTAAACTAATTGAAAACACTCCCTTTGAAATGACATATCTTATAACCGAAACTCAATGTATTTTAATGTTTGTGTGGGCATAATATTAAAAAGATTGTCCAGATGTTTTAAAATGTGAAGAGAAATACAAAACCATTGCCTTCTTGCAGATTCATGAATCAAAATTGTTGCTTTTCAACACCGAATTCTTTGGTTTTGTTTAATAGCTCATACTCTTGTTTCTAATCACAGCAGCAATTCTCAGAATACAAAAGAACCTTAAGTGCTGCTTCATTTACAATACATTTCTGGGGATGAAGGAAACAAACAACGTCCAACCTTTAACTTACTTTTTACTAAGGAGTTTTCCAGATATTCCCATGCTCAACATAAGGAATTCAACTTCTTAAAAATGCATCTTAATCTTCCAAAAAGTCTCCACTGAACAAGACAACTTCCTGCTCTGTCTTAGCAGTAGCACCTCTCACCAGTCCTACACAGTAATACTAATCGTACATACAGTACAGGTCACGGCACCGCTGACAGATTACGGCAGCCCTTCGCTCCTCCAGACCCTGCTGCCTGCAAGCGCGTACGGCAGCCGTGCGACTGTCCCCCGTGCAAGGCTCACCCCAGTCCCGGGTGCGAATTGCGCCCCCGGCCCGCGCCCGACTGCCCCCCGTGCAAGGCTCACCCCAGTCCCGGGTGCGACTGTCCCCCGTGCAAGGCTCACCCCAGTCCCGGGTGCGACTGTCCCCCGTGCAAGGCTCACCCCAGTCCCGGGTCCATGACTCGGAGCTCCCCACGGCCACTACGTGTGGTCTCATGCAATCTTCAGCATCACATTACACAGCCTTCATGCTTCGTCTCAGAAATCTGAAGGGGATTTTTATCCTTTGGCACTTAAAAGGTTTCAGAGCCTCAGCTGACCATTGTTTTTGAGTTATCTCCAGCAGACTATCTCGCCTCCCTCATGAGGGTTTGCCTGATGAACTTACAGATACTGGCTCTATCCTTTCTCAGACTGCATTTTGTTTGGCTTGTGCCACGCTCCACTGGTCTCTTCCTGCACAACAAGCTCCGCTTTCCCCTGCTTATCCTTGCAGCACTTCCCAACACTTCAGCCATCCTCCTGAAGCAGCACTACTCCAGGGGACACAACAGAGGACAACAGGGATGCACTCAGTCTCTGCTGGGAGTAGTTTGACAGGACAGCGTTTGCTTTTTTCAGAGCATATTTTCTCTTCACCCAATTTCTGTTTCTCGTGGTGGAAACAGTCTTCTATGATGATGCACGCTGCAAAATATGTAGGGGAAGGTAGGATGGCCCTTCTCAAGATACCACTCGGTAACTTCACACCTTGAAAGCTGATACACTATAGACTTTTGAGCACTCCCCAAAGCACAGGGTTGCTCTGGTCATTTAAAATCCTGACCCACGTATATGCACACACCTGCCACCTTCTCAAAAATCTGTATTTTAGTCGCAGAGTAACTCAGCTGGCTGGCAGGGTGAGCAAATCCCCAGCTCGGTGCACCACCAGCAGAGGGGGACAACGATTCATCCTTAGTGCAAGGGTTACAACCACAAAATTAGTGATTTTGGGGGCACACAGGCACAAAAACAAAACCATGCACTCGCAATTGCCAACACTCACACCTAATTTCTTTGGACGAGGTAAATGAACAGATTCTGGAGCCCACAGGAAGTATTTTTTTCTCATACACGGATGAAGCCCTCACAAAATTTTGGTATCAGAAAGATAGAAAGTTAAAAAATAGGGAGCAGGAATTCTAACGGCAGGTTGTTCAAAATCAGTTTGTTTCTGTTTCGGCTATTAAACTATTACGACATAATGAAATACTTGGAAAAGAATAATATTTGGTAAAAACCTCAAGTTCCTGCCTATGACTTGCCACAGCCGAGGTCTCCTTCATAAAAACAGAATGGTTCAAGCCCAACAGTCCCAGCATTTCCAAAGTAAAAACCCAAATGTACAACGGTATTTGTTAAATAACCCCTTGAAACTTTTGTATGCCTCAAAAATCAAGAAAGAAAGGAAAGGCGGAGGCACAAATTAAATACTTTAGAAACTATTTGCAAATCTTCTCTGAACCATAAGGAAGAAGTTAATCCACTGTTGTGGAAGGAGGAGCCCGGGAAAGCCAGCCTGGCTCCAAAGCCTCCTGTGAAGTTGGGGCATCCACACCTGGCCCTGCCAAGAGTCCCCCTCGACAAAAATACCCCGAAATACAAAAAGAGTAAGGAATAAGGATATATTCCTTATTGAATAAGGAAACAGAGGATAACACTGTCAGCTAGGAGATACTTCAAGATGTCAGATACCAACAGAAACTGGCTACAAGCTGCAACAGGCATTTTTAAGCAAACTTCTCACCTGAGTTACAGGGTTAACAGGGTTATGGATGCCACACGGCTTCGGCTCCCCACCTGAGCAGACAAATGGATTTGTTGGGTTTTTACCCCAACTCAGTTTTCTCGCTCTCAGTGGGACACACTTAAATTTCTCCCAGCAGAACCGCTGCAAGTCCCAAAAGGGAGGCACTGCGACGCGGAGGAGGTGCGAGCAGAGCCGCTGTGCGAGCAGAGCCGGGAGAAATGCCCTCGGCTGCCAGCAAGCTGCTGCCTGCGTGGCCCCAGCACCTTATGTTTTCCATTCGTAAAGCATTTTAACAGGCAAAGGGAAAACACGAAATCCACACAGGTTTTGAGAAGAAACCCCCCTGCGCATACCCACGCTTAACCCGAGGTAAACCGGCGCACTGAGACCTACTCAGATTTAAGATTCAAGTTTAGCTTCCTGCTCGTTTTAGGGAGTTCTGACAGGAAAACAAGACTCCGGCCGGCACTGCTGACCCCTCGCACTGGCGCTGCTACACCACCGCCCCTGTGCTGAACATCCACCATAAAGGAGGATCACAGGAACAAAATGCAAGATGGAAGGTCTGTTTCAGGGGCAAAAGTCCCTAAAATGTGAGGAGAGGAAAATCCCAGATAAAATCTGACCAAACCAGAACTCAGTTTGAAGCACCACTTGCAAGCTCTTCCTCTTTTTCCCCCTCAGCCAATTTAGTTTCTGGTTTCATGACAGGGACAGAGCCAGGGGATGTTTAGGATTGCTTATGCTAAGAAAGTAATAGATAGGCTTTCCTTAAGCATGCAAAGCATGCCATTTCTGTAGTATTCCTAGTT